CAGGGTAAGACAAAACACATTTTAGAAGAAGAATTGATTATGTATTGACTCATTATTTAAACAAAAAAAGACGCATAGTGGATCTTTAAGAGCCAAAGAGTCAAATATCTATTATGATATAATATTTTCTATTTCAATGCTTGAAACAAAATGTTTTTCATCAGAATGCACATTAGCTGTCAGTAAAGAAAGATGTGTCTATAAATATGTAGTTATGTAGGGGATAATCAGCCATGCCTTGATCCCTTCTAATAGATATGATTATTCATATGATATTTATGGCTCAGGTGGAAAAAAATGTTTACAGAATTAAGTGCCCATTGCATGATGGGAATGCTAACAGATTAATCCCTCTAACTCAATGGATAAACAGATTTACATGGAAAGACAGAACTTTAAATATTGGATTATAACTTTGCAGATCCATCGTTGGTTATAGTTGTTTTATGACCACTCTCATGTTAACATGTGTCATGTTTAAATCTTGAAGCTGTACCTTTTGAAACTGTATTTGTACATTTATTGCATTTTTAATGGTAAAGACGTTTTGCTGTTGGCGGAGCAGAACATTCCTCATAAAGCAAACAGTAAAAAAGTAAATCTTTGGCAAAGAAACATTCACTGGATATTGGGAAATACAGAAAACAGGAAATTAATGGGGAAATAATTGATAGAACATAGAAAAAGTGACAAAAAATGATGATGATAAAAAAGGAAACATTCCTTGTACGCATCAGCTTGAATCACATCATAAAATAGTTTAACTATTCAAGATTTGTTTTATTTTTTTCCTGATGCAACTGATAATTCCTTTTCTAATTTTGGATTATATTCATTTCTGAATTAGATCGTTTTCCTACCCGTTGACGTGGATCTAAATGATTAAGATTATGAACATAAAAAAAAGGTTTTCTTCACCAAATGTCCATTCAAAAAGAACAATTGGAGAAAAAAATCAGACAAATGACCTTTCACAGTGACATATAATATATCAAATAACAATATAATCAAGTTTCAAGTCTGGAGCGATGGTGTTTCTCCTTTGGTAGCAACAGGTTCTCTGTAATGTTGTTCTTGAGTGTCCTTGCAGTGAAACGCACAGGTTCAGACGGTGTGAGTCAATTAGAAAAGGATTAGATGTTGATATGTGTCTCCGACTGACGGAGCGGAGCGCGTTTATATAGGAATGTGAGACAGACGCGTGCAATTAAATCTCACCTCATAACAGAAGACATATGGAGATCACTGACCTCTGTCTTCTGAAAACATCATCTAATATCTGTGTGCAGTCGTGGACGGATGAAGGGCTGTGTGTGATCACTGGTGCAGATACTTCCAGTTGCTTTAAACTGATTAATGCATAGTTATTCATACTGGATTTAAACATGCACATCCAGTTTGGTTTATCAGAAGGCTGAAGATTAGTTCAAATGCAATTCAAAAGAGGGCCATAAAAGAACCATTTTCGGTTCCCCAAAGAACCTTTCAGTGAAAAGCTCTTAATAAAAGCATTTGTTCTCAGTGTGAAGAACATTTTAATAATCTAAAGAACCTTTTTCCGATATATAATAACCTTTTGTGGAATGAAAAGGTTGCATGCGGTTCTGCACTTGAACCATTGATGCCAATAAAGAACATTTATTGTACAGTATCTTAACTTAAAAAATGTTCCAGATTAAATATTTAATATATTAAATCATTATTTTTGCAGATCCATTTGTAAAGTAATGCAGAACAGTCTTATTTCAGTATTTTTTTTTTTACCAATATATTATTTATTACTTCATTTTAGTTTAAGTTTTAGTAATTTTGCTATGTGTGGTTGTTATTTTTATTATAATCTTTTTAATATTTCTGTAACAATACAATAAGGTTTAATTTGTTAACATTAGTTACTAACAATGAACTAACAATGAGCAATACATTTGTTACAATATTAATCTTTGTTAATGTTAGTTAATAAAAATACAGCTGTTCATTGTTATGTTTACAGTGCATTAACTTATGTCAACAAATACAACATTTGATTTTAATTCATTTAATAATAAGATTAATAAACTCTATAGAAGTATTGTTCATTCTTAGTTCATGTAAACTAGTGAACTAATGAAACCTTATTGTAAAGTGTTACCAATATTTCTATTTAGTAATTCAACTCATTTATTTCAGTAGTTGCCAAGGCAACATTTCAAATTTTTCATATAATATTTCTATTTTATTGTATTTTATTTCAGCTTTATTTCAATTAACTATTTTTTAAGTTAACAATAACAACACTTAACAAGACCTTTAAGCTATGCTGTGTTTTGATTCATTTATTAATATGAATAATATGAAAAATAAAAATGCATAATTAAAAAATAGGCTGATTGATATGGGGAAATTGTTGTACACTGACAGTCAATAGAGCTTAACTTTAATTTAATCACTTGGAATTTTTTTTTAAGTTATCTGGAGAAAAAAAAAGAATTCAAGAGACTAATTTAAAAATGAAATGCAGACATTGTTTATTATAATGGAATGCATTCTCTACATCATACAGCAGTTACATCATCATAATATCATCAGTGCATTCTGACATGTTGACAAAACCAACATTTAATGAAGAATAAATGGTCAATATGCACATATGACAGCGATCATTGATTCCAGTGTCCAGAGGAGGTCAGATTCATTCACTTTCAGCAATGATGCAAACAGAAAAACATACATACATACATAATGTGTAGAAAAAAAAGTTAAACATAAAGAAAAGGTAGATCATGAGTAGAAGTTGCACGTATCCCTGCTTATACAGTCTGAAATGTCTTTATGGCAAAATACTTCTAACATTATGTGTTCTTCATATTATATACGTCACATTATAAACATCCTCACATTTTAAAAACACAAATCATGTGTCCTCACAACAGACTGGAACAGAATCTACAGCATATACTAAGTTTGTGCGCAAGATGCATGACTTTAGACGTCTACAGCAAGTCCAAATGTGTGTAAATATCAAGCCGAGAGTGTGTGTGAGTGTTGTGAAATTGTGTTGTACATTTAGTTCATTTTAAAACGACCTCTTCTCAAAGATAACGCTTTTCTTTTGACTGTCTTCGCTGACCTATCTATTGTGTGTCTGTATGAAGCAATGCATGTCTGGGTTCAACTTAGAAATGCCAAAGTACTTGGTTCCTTTTTTAAAAGTGACTTTGGGGTGTTTTCACACTTCATTTTTAGGGGTCTGAAAGGTAAAATAACATTTTACATGTAAACGCTCCAAACAAACACTGATCCCTTTAAAAGAAAACAAACTCATATATGTGTATGTATACGCACAATTTAAGATATATATCATAAATTGTGTATAAATATATGTATATGGAGTAACGTAACTTGCTGTGTGTATATATATATATATATATATATATAGACACACACATTATTTAAACATAATGTGTATTTCAGTCCTTTGTTTTTTTATATATTTGTTTGATTCTTCTTAACTCAAGTGTAAAAACACCCTAAAAACGTATAAATTCAATCCAAGTAAATGTAAAGTTGTGTATTTGCTTTGTCAATAAATTGTGTATAAATATATGTATATGGAGTAATGTAACTTGCTGTGTATATATATATATATATAGACACACATTATTGAAACAAAATATGTATATTTCAGTACTTTGTTTTTTTTTAACATAGCCTATTTGTTTGATTCTTTTTAACTCAAGTGTAAAAACACCCTAAAAACGTATAAATTCAATCCAAGTAAATGTAAAGTTGTGTATTTGCTTTGTCAATAAATTGTGTATAAATATATGTATATGAAGTAATGTAACTTGCTGTATATATATATATACATATATATATAGACACACACATTATTGAAACAAAATATGTATATTTCAGTCATTTGTTTTTTTTATATAGCCTATTTGTTTGATTCTTTTTAACTCAAGTGTAAAAACACCCTAAAAACGTATAAATTAAATCTTAATAAATGTAGTTGTGTATTTGCTTTGTCAATAAATTGTGTATAAATATATGTATATGGAGTAATGTAACTTGCTGTGTATATATGTATATATATATATAGATACACACATTATTTAAACAAAATACCGTAATTCCTCAAATAAAGACCGGTATTCAAATAAACGCCGGGCCTCTGATAGTGGCCGGGGGCGTGGTCAACGCGGACAAATAAAGGCCGGTCTCAAATTAAGGCCGGGGAAAAAATAGTGTGAATAGGTACACTTTAAATGAATGTACACTCAAAGACGGACGCGCTCAGCGCTTGTCATATATCACAACTATTAAGTGTTTTTAACCACATGTTTATTTTAGGTTTCAGACATTTAAATAGATATGATTTATAGCAAAACAATAAATTTATAGTTTGTAAAATACACAATGGTGTCTATGGAAGCAGCAATAACAATCCATTCAAATATATTTGGCGACGTGTTTTATTCATATCAGATACACAGTGTAAGTAACTATGAAGTTTACTCTATTCTTCTCCCAGTTCACCGGCCACTTACTTTCATGTATTTCGGGAGAAACTGAAGAATTCACGCGCTGTAACTTAACAAATACAACAGGAATCTCCGAACTGCGGTGCCCATCTCACGTTACAGATCAAGATCATTTATAAAGGGTTTTAAACGACAAAACAAACTCACTTACACGGATTTGAGAGTCAGAATAGAAGATAGTTGATGACATGGTAAGCAAGTTTGTTAATATTTAGAAATAAAAGCGCTACATCTGTCATACAGCGCTATTTTGGCTGTGGTGAACACGTGCCAAGCATGTCGCGTCACCATGGAAACTTGGCTGGCGGGCGGGCGGGGATCGCGAATTAGAAATAAAGGCCTGCCTCTAATAAAAGCCTGCTTCAAATAAAAGCCGGCTACCATCTGCAGTTCAGGTAAATAAAGGCCCCGGCCTTTATTTGAGGAATTACGGTATGTATATTTCAGTCCTTTGTTTTTTTATATAGCTGTTTGATTCTTCTTAACTCAAGTGTAAAAACACCCTAAAAATGTATAAATTCAATCCAAGTAAATGTAAAGTTGTGTATTTGCTTTGTCTGCTCTATTCTCGAGGCTCTGTGACCTTTCACCCTTGACCTCTGCATCATTCACATGAAAAGTGCTGATCATCATTGTGTGTATTTGTAATGCCTTCCAGCATCATAAATATAGCCGTGTGTGTGTTCGTGTGCATATGCATGTGTCTTGGCAGATGTCTATAATAGATAAAGGTCATGCATTTATTACCCGTCAGACCTTCACAGAGGATCCGAGGCTTTAGTCCAGCTCTATTGATAGCTATGATCAAACGTCTAATGGTCACTCTACTCATGCAGTCCGTCGTTTCTACACTAACTACTCCTGTAGAAATGGCGTGTTTGTGGTTTTATTGAGTCGGCAGCGTTTGAGACGCCGTGACTCTGTGGTTTGTCTTGATCCTGTTGGTCCGTTGATTCGATGAGAACTCATTGTGTTAGTTGTGCAGGTACGGGTCGGTTAGCTCTAGTTGAGACGGGACAGGCCGAACGCTGTGCTGACGGAGGCCAAGAGAAGAACGATGCTGACCGCTAACGCTGGTCCACTGGACCGATACACCACACGGCTGTTACGAGGCTGAACGGGTCTGAAGGTTTCCACCATTGGCTTCCCATCATGAAACTTCAGGGTGGAAAACGCCCGAAGCTGTTTGAAGATAATAATAATAATAATAATCAAAGATAGTCATACAGGTTTAAAACCATGTTCATTTTTTAGGGTGAACTGGCCCTTTAAATCATAAATTTCCTACTTCTCACATCAGAATTTTAGTTTTAGTAATTTTGTGTGATTGTCATTTTTATTATTATTTTTTTATATTTCTGTAACACTACAATAAGGTCTAATTTGTTATATAGGTTTAAAACCATGTTCATTTTTTAGGGTGAACTGGCCCTTTAAATGCTCTCGCGCTATCATAAATTTCCTATTTCTCACTTCTGAATTTTATATCCAATATATTATTTATCACTTAAAGGCACACTGTGGAACTTTTCAACCTTTATAATATATTACCAAAACCCATTGAGATGGTACATCGACTTACAATAGGTTGAATGACACGTCTGCCGTAGCCTGAAGGTGTCTGTATCGCTTTTACTAGCACTATGTAACTTCGGGGTTCGGGTAGGAACCCGAGCACAAAAAGAACTACAAAATTCGACCGCTTTACGGCATACGTCACTTCCCCCACCACCCACAACTTCCTCAGATTCTGACGTGAGTGCTCAACTCGCGTTTGATTGCCGTCTGTATGTTTTTGTCATGGCCGAACCAACAGCTACAAGGAAGAAGGCAAAGGTTTTGTCAGAGGACACTAAAAAAAAGAAAAGGGCATAGTGACAAATGAAAAGCCAGGACGAGGATCACCATTGGTCCAGCGTTCGCTCGCTGGCGTGAGCTAACGTTACACGTCTATGGAGCTACAGGAGGAGGATGGGTGCCCGACCGATGCTAACGCTTGCCTGCACACAAATGCCGTTTCCAAGGTGACAGATAAATCATATAAGCAGTGTAGTATTGTCTGGTATTCCGGCCACAGCCGATGGTGTTATGAGTGTAATAAAATGCCCACAGCCCATTGTTCATTTCTACACACAAACACAGCCCGCCACAGTGCAGGGCTCGAACAAATAAAATCGACTCATGTCAAATGTAGCTGCTACATTAAATGTAGTGAACGTTCCCACGACTCAGTGCCCACAAACACTACAGACAACATGTCCCACGGTTTCTGTAAAACGAAACCAACACACATAGCTTACAGTCAGCTCAGGCCGACGGTGTTTTTAGTGCAGTAAATGTGCCCGCCGTCCCGCGCCCACATTCACTCACAGACATGTTAGCACTAATGGTGTGTTCACACCGAACGCGAATTTAATTATTTCCGCGAGTAGATTACATACAAAGTCAATGCAAAGACGCGAATAGACGCATCATTCGCGCCAGGCGTTGCGAATGACGCGAATTGGGCGACGCGTTTGCCGCGAATGTCTTCCGCGCAAGTTGAAATATTTGAACTCGAGCGAATGTTCAAGCGTCTAACTAGACGCGATAGACGCGTATTTGACGCTCTATTCGCGTTCGGTGTGAACACACCATAAGCCCCACGGGGCTCGCCCCGCTCGCTCTCTCTCAGCAGACTGCTATAAGGGAATCGACCGCGGCCAGGCTGCCCGCCTCAAACACTGCAAGCACACATAATCTAAAGCAGTGGTTCTCAATCCTGGTCCTAGGGAGCCACTGCTCTGCACAGTTTGTATCATAGGCGGAGTTTGACATTCGAGCCAGGGGGGGCAAAAAAAAAAAAAATCATTGTAGCATTCATTCATTCATTCATGTAGCAATCATTGTCGTTCGGACACAATTCGGATAAATGAAATGTGGACCACTTTTGCACTGTTAAAATATTATCTTCAACCAAAACAAAAAGATTTTTAGTTTTTCTTTTCTTTCCTTTTTTCAAAACACATTGTGGCAATGAGAGTGATTAAAGTTATATTTCGCATTTTATTGTACTTCATGAAACATTTAAAACATTTTGAGACACGGGAAAAATGAACAGTCACACAATAGCCTACTCTCCACGTTTGAAACACATGTGGCAATGAGAGCGATTAAAAAAAAAAAGTTATTTCGCATTTTGTTGTAGCCATTTCATGAAACATTTAAAACATTGAGACACGGGAAAAATTAACGGTCACATAGCCTACTCTCCACTTTTGAAACATATTGAACAGCATATTGAAAGCAGTGTGTTGAGTTTTTCTCCATCTTAAGCAGTTATTTGGCAGAGAAATAAAACTTACAGACCTAGATATTGCTCAGACTAGTGCAACAGTAATTTTCGTTTTTTTGCGTCCTGCGTCGATAATGGTCTCAGGTGAGAGCTTGGCCGTAATGTCGCTTTCGATGTGAAGGATCGCAAGAGAAGAAAACCTGGCTGCTCCCATCGTCAACCGCAGCCTGTTCTTTATCCTCTCATGGAGAGTCGGCCTGGCATGAATAATACAGCGGTTTTAGTCCTTTTTGGGGATCCATGTGAACGGACGTGTCTGTACGCGAAAAACACACAGGAAATTCCTCACTTACCGCGATACTTTGAGATCCGCCAGTCGTGAGAAAATTAGCTTCTTTTTCAATACAGTAATTAAAAATAATTTAGCCTTAACTTACTCATTATACCCGCAAAAATGATAAGATAAGACAAATAAAATGAGAAAATATGAATACAGTATATATATTTTTTTTTCAAAGCACAAGGCAGGCATTAATTGGCTCTGGTCTGGGGGGGCAGTGCCCCCCCTAGCCCCCCCCAAACTCCGCCTATGGTTTGTATGTCTCCCTCATTTAACACACCTGATTCAGATCATCAGCTCGTTAGGAAAGAGCTTTATTAACTGAAGTGGGTGTGTCAGATAAAGGAGACATATAAAATGTGCAGAGCAGTGGCTCCCTAGGACCAAGATTGAGAACCACTGATCTAAAGACACGGGAAGCTGACCCACTGTCTATAGGCGGACCGGTTGACTTTTGCGACAGTGCTGCAGAGCTTGTGGCCTCTAGGGACGCTAGACGTGAAAGTTACAGGTCGAGCGCCACTAGTGGCCAAAAAGTTCCGCAGTGTGCCTTTAATTTTAGTTTAAGTTTTAGTAATTTTCCTATGTGTGATTGTCTTTAAAAAAAAAAAAAAAAATATATATATATATATATATATATATATATATGTCTGTAACAATAAGGTCTAATTTGTTAACATTAACTAACTAACACGAACTAACAATGAGCAATACATTTGTTACAATATTTATTAATCTTTGTTAAATTTAGTTAATAAAAATACAGCTGTTCATTGTTATGTTCACAGAGCATTCATGTTATCAAATACATTTGATATTATGAAGATAATATTAATAAACAAAGATAGTCATACAGGTTTAAAACCATGTTCATTTTTTAGGGTGAACTGGCCCTTTAAATCATAAATTTCCTACTTCTCACATCAGAATTTTAGTTTTAGTAATTTTGTGTCATTTTTATTATTATTTTTTTTATATTTCTGTAATACTACAATAAGGTCTAACTTGTTATATAGGTTTAAAACCATGTTCATTTTTTAGGGTGAACTGGCCCTTTAAATGCTCTCGCGCTATCATAAATTTCCTATTTCTCACTTCTGAATTTTATATCCAATATATTATTTATCACTTAATTTTAGTTTAAGTTTTAGTAATTTTGCTATGTGTGATTGTCTTTAAAAAAAAAAATATATATATATATATATATATTTCTGTAACAATAAGGTCTAATTTGTTAACATTAACTAACTAACACGAACTAACAATGAGCAATACATTTGTTACATAATTTATTAATCTTTGTTAAAGTTAGTTAATAAAAATACAGCTGTTCATTGTTATGTTCACAGAGCATTAATGTTATCAAATACAACATTTGATATTATGAAGATAATATTAATAATCAAAGATAGTCATACAGGTTTAAAACCATGTTCATTTTTTAGGGCCCTTTAAGTCGTAATTACACTTCTTAGTTCTTAGTGTCTTAGTATATTTTCTAATTTAGTATATTTTCTAATAAAGCACATTTTTTACTGCAACAAGTGCAGCCCAAAGTGAATCAAGAAAACCAAACACAGACAATACAAACACAACAATATAAATATGACATAAAATACTAATATTTAGTTCTCTCCTGGGTCAGACTCTAAAGCTAAGATGTAAAAGTGCTTCTTCAAAGCCATTTTAAACGCATTCACAGTGAGGGCAGAGCGAGTTATTCAATAATCTGGGCACGATCGCCTTTTCAGCACCTGAAGCAAAATGTTATCGTCCGATCTCAAATTCTTTACTGGCTGGTGTAGAATAACATTTAAGAGGGAGCGAGATCAGTTCAAGTGTAAAAAATGATTAATAAGACCTTGAAGCCGATCCGATATCTGATGGGTAACCATTAAAGGGATTTTAAAATCAGAGCGATTCTGTCCTTCTTTCTTAAATCCGTCAATAGTCTAGTCTAGCAATCGATGATCGTCTCCAGGGCCCGTATTCATAAAGAATCTTAATGCAAAGAGTCGGTCCTAGTGACAAAATTCTAAGAAAATTCTTAGAAATGTGGGCGTTTGCTCTTAAAATTAAAGAAAAAATCCTAGTAAAGAAAAAAGTAATTCAGAAAGCATCTTAACCCTTAAAGGGGTCATATAATGGTACATGCACTTTTACAAGTTGATTGTACTGAAATGTGTGTTGGCAGTGCCTGTACACAACCATCATATAATGATAAAAATCCATCCAGTGTTTTTGTTTTAATCTCCTTATATGTTTTCCCCTGCCTCAAATCAAGCCGTTCGACCGTGTGACGTCACACGGTCAGAAGCCCCTCCCACGATTGTTGATTGACAGGAGCGTTTCAACACAGACCCGCCCTCGCTCGTGAGAGCTGTCAATCATAGTCTGCGCGGACCGGCGCGGTCATTGTTGATATGCTGGAGCACTGTCTATGAGCAGAATGGCGTCTAAGCGATTGTGGTGTTCTGTTCTTGGGTGTAATAACGAACACAGTCATTTTAATGTTCCTGAATCCGAACCGCTGAAGACGCAGTGGCTGAGTTTGTTTTCGAAGGGAATATTCCCCACGAGCAACGTCAATGCTTTCATGTTTGCGTGAATCATTTCTCACCAGACTGCTTTATAAACGAGGGTCAGTATAAAGCTGGATTTGCTAAGAAGCTGCTCATGAAAAAAGGATCGGTACCAGATATTCGTGTTCCTGCTGAACCTCTAGAACAACTGAAGTGAGTGTAACGTTTTATTAAACTTTATATTAATATTTATATCTTTGCAAATCGCTTCACGATGAATGCGCCTAAGGTTTACACTCAGGGTACATTACGGCATGTTTTCTATGTACGACGTTCTCCATATAATTCATAATCCCACGTTTATAATGAACAATGCGTTATGGTTATTGTGTTATTGTGTTACAAACGTGTACGCATAGAACAGAGGGGCGGGGTGAGCAAAGCTCATTATCATTTAAAGTCATATGCACTGAAACGGCGTGCTGAAAACAGAGCTGTTTTTGACCAGGTAAAATAAGTGTTTTCTTACAATACTAATGAGAATTTTTAATTAAAGTATATTACAAACTTTTAATTTAGACCCTAAAGAATCATATTATCTTGTACAAAAATGGCATTATATGACCCCTTTAAAAGAGGTCTTAAGGTCAAAGTTGTTAGGAGTACGGATGAGGACTTTTAAGAGGCTTAAGAGTTTCTTTATCAGAGGAGAGATGGCAGAAAGACGAAGAGGGAGAAGAAATGTGTTGCAGACGATGGATGACAGTGAGTTAATGAGACGCTATAGATTGACACCCGGCCCGAATCTTCCTTTAAGGACGGCCTTGTGTCCGTCCACTAACTGGGCTAACAGTGAACACTGTTCCTCTGTCCAGTCCTTTCTCGTCCGTCTTGGATTTGATTTCATGTTTGTTACATTAAAACCAACATTCAAACCACCACTTAAATAGACATGCCAGCAATCAGTGTAATTGGAAAAAGTGGAACAAGTTTTATTATTCTAAGCCAATCAAACACCTTATAGGAAATTAACAGCATGGTAAATAAAAAAACGGATTTATATACAAATACAGTATATAGTGTGTGTGTGTGTGTGTGTGTGTGTGTGTGTGTGTGTGTGTGTGTGTGTGTGTGTGTGTGTGTGTGTGTGTGTGTGTGTGTGTGTGTGTGTGTGTGTGTGTGTGTGTGTGTGTGTGTGTGTGTGTGTGTGTGTGTGTGTGAAAACGGTAAAATAGGAAAAATTATGCATGTAATTTCAAAGTGAAGGCTTAGAATAGACCCTATACTTAAAATCACTCTTTTTTTCCTTCTTGGACAACCAACCAATCACAGTCTTCAAAAGATTGTGTCATACATAGCAATGGGGTCAGCCCCGCCTCCTCACTAAGATCTGAGTCTTTTCCTTACTCAAGAGTTGCTCTCAGATCGGTCCCGAATCGCTCTTAAGCTAAGACTCCTACGTAAAAGGTTTTAAACTAAATTAAGAGTTTTCTGAGAGGATTCTTACAATCTTTATGAATCTCTAGATGAGGGCATAGGTTTTATCTTAGCGATTAACCTTAGTTTTCACCAGAGCTTGTTTTGCAAAATTCAAGTCGGAATCAAAAGATTTTTTTGCGTATGGGTGAACAATATGGGGATACAATGTTCATTCTTGCCTATTTAGACATTTAGCCAATATCCAGTGGATTTTGAATGAAATATAAACCATATAAAAATTACCCGTGCAATTGTATAATTCACCACAGTATCTAGATTTAGTCAACTTGCTGTCGATTCTGAAGTTTCGGTAAAATAAATACTATTTTTGCTGTGTAAAATACATACAATATGCTATTTATTTATACTCTACCTGTCAAAAGTTTTTTTTTTATGTTTTTGAAAAGCCTCTGCTCACCAAGGCTGAATTTATTTAATCATAAATACAGTAAAAACATAAAAAATCGTATTTATTCCAAACTGTTGACCTGTAGTGTCCACATAAATACAGGACTGTAAAAGCAAGGGAAAGCAATATAAATATAGAAATATTGGTAACACTTTACAATAAGGTTAATTTGTTAACATTCGTTATTGTATTAACTATCATGAACTAACCATGAGCAATACATTTGATACTGTATTTGTTAATCTTTGTTAGTTAATAAAAATACAGCTGTTCATTGTTAGTTCACAGTGCATTAACTAATGTTATCAAATAAAACTTTTGATTTTAATAATGTATTCGTAAATGTTGAAATTAACATTAACAAAGATTAATAAATGCTGTCGTTCATGTTTACTGATGATACCTTATTGTAAAGTGTTACCAAAATATGAATACAACTAAACAAACAGTCACTAGTTCTCTCCTCCGCGATGTTTAAATTTGATTGTCCATCCAACTCAGAAACTACTAAAATTGTACGACTTGAATTTTTAAAACTAGGCAACTCAATATTCCCGATAGTGAAGTGTGTGTCGTACCTGTTCTCCGTGGAGGGGAATGGCGTTCTCGAACACGGTCCACACCACAGCCTCGGTGCAGCCCGGTGTGGTCAGCGACCCGTCGTACCGGTAATAGTTCGTCATGTTCCCTTCAGACAGAATGAGCTGATTCAGAGAGATCTTGCGAAGGGTCGTGTTTCCATCTGGTCAAATCAAAAAGAGGTATTCAATTTTGAGGCTGTTCATTCACACACAACACGTTTTTTGCATTCCACTGCACTACTTTTCCATTGTTTTTCAATGTAAACACACACTAGACAGATGTCTTTAACCGCTGTGCTGTGTTTTGGCGGCGTAATGTTTTGGTTTTTTAACACATCTTTAGATCAAGTGTCGTTTTTCATTACACTGACCCGCGTCTCTTTAGTCTGTAGTTATTATTATTTGCTATCCTTGAAAACAATGCATAATATACAGTCCTGGTCCGAATTATTGGCACCCTTGGTACATATGATTAAAGAAGCCTGCGGAAATAAATCTGCATTGTAAATCCTTTTGACCTTTTATTAAAAAAATTCTCAAAAATCTAACCTTTCATTGAAGTATAACAATTGTAATTGGGGGAAAATCTCATTACGAAATATGTTTTTCTCTAATACACATTTGCCACAATTAAAGGGATAGTTCACTTTAAAATTAATTTTTGGTGTGTTTTAGCTTACCTCAAGGGCATCCAAGATGCAGGTGTCTTTGTTTCCGCAGTAGTTTCAATTTTGATATTTTTAGGTCAAACCGTTCTTGTCTGTCAGTCATATAATGCAGGTCTATGGTCACCACCTCAAAGAGCAGCACAGAGAAGTCCAGATTAAACATGATTTAATGACTCGTAAATGTAAGTACACATTGATGGCCTAAGACACGAAACGAGCGGTTTGTGTGAGAAAACCAACAGTATTTATATCGTTTTTACCTCTTGTAAACACAGCCACGTCCAAGTGATCTGAGGGCGCCGGCGCTTCGGTCTGGAAGTGATCTCTCGCGCGTGTACGTCACTCATTGTTTACACAGAACAGAGATTGTAGGTAAGACGGCTAATTAAAAGGGTACTAATTTGCACTTATCCGGGATGTTTAAACCGTCGTAAAAGAAAACAATTCCAAAAAAATAAAAAACAAAACAATTGTATGAGTGAGGTACACGCGCGAGAGATCACTTCCGGCGCTTTCCGGAAAAGACCGAAGCGCCGGCGCCCTCAGATCACTTGGACGTGGCTGTGTTTACAAGAGGTAAAAACGATATAAATACTGTTGGTTTTCTCACACAAACCGCTCGTTTCGTGTCTTAGGCCATCAATGTGTACTTACATTTACGAGTCATAAAATCATGTTTAATCTGGACTTCTCTGTGCATGCTCTTTGAGGTGGTGACCATAGACCTGCATTATATGACTGACAGACAAGAACGGTTTAACCTTAAAATATCAAAATTGAAACTACTGCGGAAACAAAGACACCTACATCTTGGATGCCCTTGAGGTAAGCTAAAACATACCAAAAATTTATTTCAAACTGAACTATCCCTTTAATGGCACCCTTTTATTCAATACGTTTTGCTACTTCCTTTTGCCAAGATAACAGCTCTGACTCTTCTTCTATAACGCCTGATGAGTTTGGATATCAGATATCATTCCTTGATAGAGAATATCTCCAGATTCCCAAGTCCGTGTTGATACACTCTCCTCTTGGGTTTTCTATAGGGTTCAGGTTTGGGGACTGTTGTGTTGATTTTGACGTTTGTTTTGGATCATTCTCCTGATGGAAGATCCAACCACGGCCTATTATAACATTTCTAGCAGAGGCTGTAAAGTTTTATATGTTGGTATTTGCTAGAATCCGTGATGCCATGTATCTGAATAAGAAGTCCAGCAGGGGCCGGTTTCACAAAGATAGACTTTGACTACGGCTTAGATATAGTAGATAGTCAGACTTCAGATAGACATCTAAATCAGACCGCTGCACAAAGCACTGAAGACCCTGACTATCTTAAGTAGGACTACACTGCAATGCATTCTGGGTAAAATAAGACACTTTTCAAAACAAAAAAACATGGCGGATCGAGTAAGCGCATTCACCCGCTCAGTGCAGTTTACCCCAGCGGGAGATGTGTGTGTGTTGGAGGAGTATAACGGTCACAAGGACATTTTACTTGGGAAATTTAGCGGAGAATGTAGAAACAAGAAGAAATGTTTCATTTGGACAAAGATTGCTACAACAGTTAATCCGACTGGTGAGCGGAGCTTTAAAGACACAAAGGTAAAGATACAAAAACATGGTACAAGATGCCGAAAAAGAAATATTTAAGAGGAAATATCCAAAAACGGGAGGAGGACCCCAAGAGAAACTTAAAGACACTGAAATGGTGATGAATATTTGGTGAACAGTCGCCTATGTTTTCTTTTCAACGAGCAGTTCAACGAGTTTCCCGAAACCATCGTTTCCAACGAACATTCGCATCAGCATCTCAGAGTTGTGTGTGTGAGCGACAGATCTCGAGCTGTGGTTAGAAGAGGAGTTTCTAGATTGCATGACATGTGGACTCAATAAATCCTTAACTTGAGCACAATAAGCAATCTGACATTCAGTGCAACCCGTGTCTTTAATTTAGAATACATACAAATGTCATTTACGTCTTTGAGTTTGTCAAGAGATTTAAAGTGTCGTTTTTGAAGAGTGCGCATGTGCGAACGAGCTCTAGTGTGTGTGAACGAGTCTATGATTGAATCTGGAAATAAAGCGAAATAACTGAGAAAAATGAGAAATATTCCTCAGATGCATGTCTGTAATTCAAAATCAAAACATCTCGCATTAACAGTTTCATTAAAAGAAGTTATTACTCCCAACACCTGCGTGACGTCATAAACCAACGTGGCTGAACGACCACTTTGCGACAATATGGTTTCTGGAAACAGTCGTGATACCAATGTGAACGCTAAGTGGACTAGGACAAATTTTTTTTTTTTTTTTTTTTTTTTTTGGGGCAGGGTACAATTATTTTTATCCCTGTTCAAACCAAACCCATTTTGAGTGTTTGCTGCCAACAAGCTCTTTTTTTGTTGGTTTCATCTGACCATAAAACCCAGTCCCATGTGAAGGTCCAGTCGTGTTTGACAACTGAGTATGCTGGAGTTTGTTTTTGGATGAGAGCAAAGGATTTTTCTTGAAACTCTCCTAAACAACATGTGGTGCTGTTTCATTTTTTTATGAGGTTTTCAGACCCCAAGACTCAACTAATTTCTGCAATTCTCCATCTGTGATCCTTGGAGAGTCTTTGGCCACTCGAACTATCTTCCTCGCCATGCATTAAAACAATATTGACGCACGATCTTTTAATCTTAGTTGATTAGAACTTCTTAATTATTGCCCTGATGGTGGAAATGGTAATTTTCAATGCTTTAGCGGTTTTCTTACAGCCACTTTCTATTTTGTGAAGCTCAACAATCTTTTTCTGGCCATCAGAACTATATTCTTTGGTTTTACTCGCTGTGATGGATGATTAAGATTAAGAAACATTTTGTTTCCTCATATTTGTACTCCCGTGAAACAATAAGTCGTGGCTGGATAGGTTTATATTCACAGCCTTCTTTGATCATATTCACCAAGAGTGCCAATAATTCTGACCACGACTGTATTTGGAAAGTTTCCATGTAGTTAGCAAGATGTTTTTTTTCTTCTTGGAATTACATTACATTACATTTAATTTAAAAAATAAATAATTGATCGACAACAGTTGATCTGAAGGTTAAGTGTGTAGTTTATGTGCCACTAACAGCATCAAACGGAACTATAAAATGAAAAATAAAGATAACAATCATTTACAAATACTTGTATTGTCCCTCAAACTCACGTCATTGGTTGAGTCATAATTGGCTCAAACAAACAGATCAATGTTTTAAAAGAGTCACAGTGAAAGTCAAACTACTAATAACTGACTGAGATTCTGAACATTAAACCGACACACCGCAAACTAGTTGAACATTGAGCAGATTACTCACTTTTAAAAGAATATTTCAGGATATATTCATTCTGACGTCGACGTGCTATTGTTCTTTTGTTTATATTACATTTTGTGGGTGAAACTCGAAAAATTCGAATATCGTGCAAAACTTAATTTATTTCAGTAATTCAACTTAAAAGGTGAAACTAATATATTATATAGACTCATTACATGCAAAGTGAGATATTTCAAGCCTTTTTTTGTTATAATTGTGATGATTGTCTTACAGCTTATGAAAACCCCAAATTAAAAATTAGAATATTGTGAAAAGGTTTTCATATCTGTAAGCCATAATCATTTATGATTATGAAATAAAGGCTTGAAATATCTCACTTTGCATGTAATGAGTCTATATAATATATTAGTTGCACCTTTTAAGTTGAATTACTGAAATAAATTAACTTTTGCACGATATTGTAATTTTTTTAGTTTCACCTGTATATACAGGAAAGCAGATGAACCCAGAATATAAACGCAACACACAGTTTCTCGTTAATTGTTTTTCCATATAAAACCATAATAAAGAAAAGCGTTTTATAATGTCCCGCTGTTTTAGTGATTAAATACTGTAGCATTTGTTGTTTATGGATCACAAGTCCCTAAAACTTACATTTTGCTCACATATTTTTGAGAGGTGATCAAAATATCTGTGGCTTGAAACTATGAATAGCTTCTAATGGCCTAAAGTAAATTCCAAAAAAAAAAAAAAAATACAATTCGTCCCTCGGTTTGTTAAAACACGTGAAAATCATACTTACACAGAACGTCTATGAATGTTCAAATACACATTAAAAATACTACATTTCGACAACTTTTCATTTTTGAAAGTGCTTCTGAGAAATGTTTGAATTCACTTAATAAACAGAAGAGGAGATTTGAGGAATCTATCTACATTTATGTATAAATTATTTTGCGAATATTATATGTGTATCTTATGCATTTACAGCGGTGAACGAGGGAGCATGGAAATTAATGCACGATTATCAAAAATACAAAGTGCACATATTTAAACCAAGTCAAAATGATTGTGTGTGCTAATCGACAGCATGCCACGGATGAAATATTCCTGTAATAGGTAATATTCAGGTCTTACTTGTGTTCTGCACGCTGCGCAGGGCAGTTGTGAAGAGGTCGTACTTTTTGTTTGAGCTGCTCGACTCCTGCCGGATAGAACTGACGTTATTGATGTTTTTCATCATATATGAATTCAAAATCATTTCAAATTCTCTTTGCAAACTTTACAAACTCTGCATTTGAAAGCACGTGCGTGTCAAACCTCGTAGAAGAATCCCAACACAGCGACTCCAGAAGGATCTTTGAGTGCGTCTTCAAGTCTGTTGTATCTGTCTTTCATGTGCACAATGTGCAGCTGGTGAGAGAATACATAATGCCATTTATTTATAATATTTAATCACAGTAAAAATGTATCGTAATTTTAACAATTTAGGATAGGTTTACGGTTTATATGACGATGTACTAAAAATGAAAACGTTTTTCCTCTGTGTTTTTCACGCTGTTCACACGGATCCGCAAAAACGACTAAAAACGCTGTATTATTCATGCCAGGCCAGTAGATGGCGATGTCACTTTGTAACGAAACACAACGCACCTACAGACTGAACACGTGATACGCATGTGCACAAGGGGGTAATCCATCGACCGGATGTTGAAGCCGGCCGGGTGCCGCCATGTTGTAGCGGAACTTCACTTGCGTTAGCATTTCCATTGACTCCCATTCATTTTGGCGTCACTTTGACAGCGAATAACTTTACATCTGAGGCGTTTAAAGACTCCATTTGTCCATTATTTATTTCTAAAGAAACACGACAATGTATAAAGGGCTCCATTACCTTCTATGTTACATTATGACTCCGTAGAAACAGCTTTAGTAAAAATAGGCTAACGATTGCGTCATAACCACTCGACTCTCTGTCGCGCTGTACAGAAGTTACCGTACAGACAGGAGGAGAAGCTCGCAGGCAATCGGGGGGACGTCCCGTCAAGGGAGAAGCCCATAGATAATGAGTCCATAAAAGCAACGGAATACTTACTCCTGCTCACTCACGCCAAAGAACTCTTTGCTCAAGTTCCCCGTCTCTGCAAGATTAACGTTGTCAATTTTCACGCACAGCTACTAGAAGAGTAACGTCTGTCAGACAGGTTGCTCACGTCATCAAGCTTAGTTTGAGTCGGTCTGAGTCTGCGCGTCAGGAACGGAAGTGCTCAAAAATCGCTAAAAATGGGCTTCAACTGTCTCAACTGAGTTCCAATGAGATGGCTCTGTCCACTTCTTATACTGTCTATGCATGTGCATGGCGTCAGCGTTTTCACAACTTCACGTTTTTGTTAACAGTATGGTTTTAAAAAACGTGCATTTTGAAACCCGTTTTCAAAAGTTTGCATTAATAAGTTTCCGTTTTTAACTCTTTCCCCGCCATGCGTTTAAAAAAAAAAGACAGACACTGCCAATTTTCACAAAAATGTAATGTCTCCCAGAATATTTGGTTGTATATGTGAACATGCAATATATATATATATATATATATTAGGGGTGTAACGGTACACATATTCGTATCGAACCGTTCGGTACGTGGCTTTCGGTTCGGTTTTCGGTACGCATTTTCAAACCGAACGGTTCGTTGGACCATTTTTCCTGCCGACCAAAATTTCGTTATTTCAAATGTAGGCGCGCGTGGCAAGCGCGCTCATAATGTAAGAGACGCTGGCGTGACCACAACATTGCCCAACATCAAATGGAAAATGTAATGTAAGCGGAACGAAACTGAGCTACTCGTTATTGTGTGTTTGACGGACCGTTTATCAGTTTGGACCGATCTTCATCATCAGCACTGTTACTACACAGCGAAATCCAGTAAAGAAAGCATTTGAATTCGCCATCGCCACTGAAGTAATAACATCGCTGCGAGATCTAGTGAGAAACATTCACATTTCTCTGTTATTAACGGATCAAACAGCGCTGAAACCAGGGAGAAACATTGTGCCATGAATGAACTTTCCAGTGTCCACAGATCAGCAACATTCACCATGGGTTTACTGTAGTAACACTACTAACTGTAACCATGGGAGTGTGGCAGGAATAGTAGGCTATAATGCTTTCAAGTAACATCATGTCGGTTTTATTTTGACATTATGAACACAATTGCTGCCCTCAAATGTTAATCTGAACTAAAACAAACATTTGTTTATAACTACTACAATATTACATTTCATTTTGTCCAAGGAGCTGTTTTGTTTTATAAGCTCCTAAGAAAAGTCAAGTATAGCTCCATCATTGCTCAAAGTAAAAAAAATCATACTTTATGATGGTAGTTTTAATAAAAATATAATTTAAAAAAATTAAATCAAGGAAATTTCTCTGGCATTTCCTTCTTTTTGCTGTATCGAAAACGTACCGAACCGTACCGAACATGACAAGTGTATCGCATCGAACTGAACCGTGTGTTTTGTGAGCCGTTACACCCCTAATATATATATATATATAAAGAACAGAGCATCTGCTTTTAAAACAAAATAACCGTTTTATTTGAGCTTTATGCATTTTTTTTTAAAGGCACACTGTGGAACTTTTCAACCTTTATAATATATTACCAAAACCCATTGAGATGGTACATCGACTTACAATAGGTTGAATGACACGTCTGCCGAAGCCTGAAGGTGTCTGTATCGCTTTTACTGGCACTATGTAACTTCGGGTTTCGGGTAGGAACCCGAGCACAAAAAGAACTACAAAATTCGACCGCTTTACGGCATACGTCACTTCCCCCACCACCCCAACTTCCTCAAATTCTAACGTGAGAGCTCAACTCGCGTTTGATTGCCGGCGTCTGTATGTTGTCGTCATGGCTGAATCAACAGCTATTCGGAAGAAAGCGAAGAAAGCAAAGATTTTGTCAGAGGAGACCAAAAAAAGAAAAAGGGAGAGTTTAAAATAAACATCGGCATAAAAGTGTATATATAATGTAATATTTACTGCGAATTCGTGTAACAAAACTGATATAAGTCACAACATACTGCCGTATACAAATGTAAATGTTTTTTTTCCTTTCTTTCAGCTCATATATGTTTGTATTTGTGTAAAAGGAAAAACAAACTGAAGACTACAAATAACAGAAATATGTAGTGAGTTATATCAGTTTTGTTACACGATTTCCCGACTACTCGATTTCATCTCCAACCCATTGCAAAGAGATCCTGAAGACGTTAATTGTTTGCTTCAGGTGTGTTTGATTAGGGTTGGAGATGAACTGTGCAGGACAGACGATCGGCAGGAGCAGGATTGGGCAACCCTTGTCAATGCGACTTACCTGATCAGACATTGTTTTCTGCGTATGCTACTTTTATTCAATTTGTTTTCTTTATAGGATTTATATTATTAATCTTATATTTATATTATTATTTTGGTCAGTAGTGAATCGATTAACTTTCTCCAACATACAAATCAAATGCCATCTACACACACATAAAGACACGGGAGGTTGACTGTTTGTTGACTTTTGCGACAATGCTGCGGCGCTTGTGGCCTCTAGGGGCACTAGACGTGAAAATTACAGGTTGAGCGCACCCTAGTGGCCAAAAATTCCACAGTGTGCCTTTAATCAACACTTGAATGTCGGTAAGATTCACAAAAGAGCAACTTTTTGAACATTAAGCTGAGAATTTTTTATTTCAAAGACTACAACGTGCATAAGCAATGCTTTTATTACTTGTTTCTGCTTTTTTTTTCAGCTGTTTTTTGATCTGGAGGGTCTGCACTCTTTCAGAAGTGTGTAATAGCGCCCCCTACTGTATAACAGTGAAAACATGGGTAAAATTCCACTAATGGCGGGGAAAGAATTAATAAAAGGCTTTTGGGCCATTTACACGACAGTGTTTTCAACTAAAAATGGAAACGTTTTTAATGTTCTAGCCTGTTCGCAAAAAATGCGAAGGAAAAAACGTTTACGTGTTCCCTTAAAATACTATATGGTTAAAAGCCTTTTTAATTGGTTAACAGTACATTACCCTATTCTATACAATGAAACGCTGTAATATATCTAATGGGACGTTTCAGTAAAATACTGTTAAATGAAAAAAAATTGTGGGGGGGGGGGGGACTAAATCATCTATTTTACTGTGAAAAAAAACACGTAATTTATTGACGTGCCGAGAAACATCTGTGCGGCCTCAAAGAATGGGCTTTCCACTGAAATAAATTCTTCTTATTTTTTCTCATCAGTTATGTCCATTAGGGTTTTATGTTGTTGATTGTTAATTGCATTATTTTAGTGGTGTGTGTGTTATCGTGATGGTGTTTTTCTTTACCACCAGTGGTAGATTTGAGATTTTTATCAGTTAAAGAAATGTATATATTTTTTGTTGCCACCTTATGGAACAACTGATAGACTTAGACTTAACTTTATTGACATTCTCACAACACGGATAATGAGGGGAACGAAATAAGAACTCAGGGGCCGGTTTCACAAAGACAGACTTTGACTACGGCTTAGATATAGTAGATAGTCAGACTTCAGATAGACATCTAAATCAGACCGCTGCACAAAGCACTGAAGACTCTGACTATCTTAAGTAGGACTACACTGCAATGCATTCTGGGTAAAATAAGACACTTTTCAAAACAAAAAACATGGCGGATCGAGTAAGCGCATTCACCCGCTCAGTGCAGTTTACCCCAGCGGGAGATGTGTGTGTGTTGGAGGAGTATAACGGTCACAAGGACATTTTACTTGAGAAATTTAGCGGAGAATGTAGTAACAAGAAGAAATGTTTAATTTGGAAAAAGATTGCTACGCCAGTTAACAGCGTTAATCCGACCATTAAAGACGTACAGAAAAGATACAAAAACATGGTACAAGTAGGTTACTGCGGTCCCTAAAAACCCTTTCGCTTCTCATAGCTCTCTCCATAACGCCGTCAGCAAACCACAAATTATGAGCCATTTTCCCTTTTCTTTCGGCTGTTTGTAATGTAACTGATTGTTGCTGCTGGTTGCCAAGGTAACTGAGTCTTAGACCTGAGTTAGCCTGGGGTGTCTAATTTTTTTAGTCTAAATGAAGTCAGTCTTTATCTTTGTGAAACAGTCTAACTTGCATTAGACTAGTCTATGAGCAAATTTTAGACTTGTCTAACACTATAAACCGGTGTGAAATAGCTTTGTGAAACCGGCCCCTGGTCTCGGTGTTGACCAACTACTTCAGTAATTAATAAAAATACTTTAAAAACCTACTTAAAACATTTCCAAAAAATAAAATAATTAACAAAGACAATATCAGCATAACAGCAAGTTAATAAATAAAAAAGTAAAAGTGCAGTGCTATTTCTTAAAAAGACAAAGGCATGTGCAAGATAAATTCAATGTGCAAAAATCACATACGATTCTAGTGTCTACATTTGCGTCACGCACACTGTACGTGGACCCTCGCTAAAAACCGACGTTTATTTGGGATTGAATGGCAACAGTATCTCGCACCTCCATAGGATACTGCTCTCCATCGACGGTGTGTTCAGACCCAGGCCCTCCACCGACACCCCAGTGAAGGTGAAACTGCACAGCCTTGTACGTCTCTCCCAGGTTTCCTCCAGACACGGTGGCTTTGATGGGAATACTGACCTGAACTGAGGTGGAAAGACAATACGACAGTGATTCTAGTGTTTCAGTAAAGATACACATTTCTGCTCATACAACCTTCTTCTCCTGCATCCTATTCTTCCAAAAACAGAACTTTTTTTTGGTATTAACAAACAAACGAGCTAGCCAAGTCCAGGTGAGAAAAACTAACGTAACGTATTACTTTCCTTAAAAAGTAACTGAGTAATGGAATTAGGAACGCAATACTGTAACACATTACTTTTAAAAGTAACTTTCACTAACGCATATCTGAGGTTTTTTTGTTACTTTAAATACAAAATAAACATGCACTGCAAAAAAATGATTTTCTTGCTCAGTGTTTTCGTTTTCCAGTCAAATATCTAAACATTCTTAAATCACGATACATTTACTTGAGAAGAAAGATGACTTAAGATAGTAAGTCTTGTTGGTAACACTTTACTTAAAGGGGTGTGCATAAGACTGACATGACACTTTCATAATCATGACATGACACATGTCATGAATATGAAGGAGGTTTTATGCATGTTTATGACAACTGTCATTAAGTGTCATTCGCTCAATTATGACATTTTTAATGCAAATATGACATTGTTTAATATGTCTTTGTTATGACAACTTGACATAAACCAATACATCATAACCTGTCAGTGTCTTTGTCATGACAACTTGACATTACCAAGACAACACAAGTGTCAAGTATTTTTAGATATTTGAAATGAAAAACAAGACAAAAATGCTAAGAAAGCAAATCATTTTAAGCTGTGTTGGTAATATACACTCACCTAAAGGATTATTAGGAACACCATACTAATACTGTGTTTGACCCCCTTTCCCCTTCAGAACTGCCTTAATTCTACGTGGCATTGATTCAACAAGGTGCTGAAAGCATTCTTTAGAAATGTTGGCCCATCTGGGACCCAAGAATAGACTTTTGTCCACTGTAGTGGACATTATATTTTAGTGAATTTCTCTGACATCATACATGTCACATGACACAACCTGGGTGTCCTGTAAAGAGCACATTCAGGACTTTTCAGAGATACCAAATGTTTGGAGGTTTCACCATGAAAACAACTTCTCCTTGGTCTTTAAAAATGTTGGACATTAATTTAGTGATCAAATGTAGCATTCTTATGGAAATATGATAATATATTGTAATTATATTTAAATTGGACTACTTTTTCAAATTGTATTTCATAAAACAACATCTCAGGAAAATGTTAAGGGGTTTCAAATAAAAAAAATACTTTCTGTTACAGAACAGGGCATTGATTTCAAACGTGTCCACTGTAGAGGACATCAGGACTAAAACCATGTTTATCAGGCATTCTGGGAGACACAACAAGTGAATATGGAGATAAATTATACATCAATATTCCTATGAAATATTAGATGATATTATTAAAATGTTGCCAATAATTACTCCAATTGTTACACTTCTTTTTTCATTAAATGTTGCTCCAAGAACACATTAATGTGCAAATTAGATACAGTGTATAGATACATTGCATTGAATGGGAATATTAATTTATGGCCATTTTACCCACATATTGCAAAAAGTAAAATGGTGTATCAATTCATTCCATTATTTCTTTCATAACATAGTTGAGAATAATCTTTATACAAATTTTGGTTGAAAAAATCCTGAAACCCCAAAATTTATTGGTGATTGAAAAAAAATCCCATTGTTTTTGCCTATACATATAATTTCATGTCATTTTATTTTTTAAACAACTTAGTCCTGGCGTCCACTACAGAGGACATAGCATAATGTATGAATAAAATATTATTTTATATATGTGTTTTTTTACCATTTGTTTATTGTGCTCTAAACAGTGTGATGACATGGAAAAAAACTAAATTCAAAAAACTTTTTTTTTCTGGGTCTCAGGAGGATATTGATAGGATAGCATCTTGCAGTTGATGGAGATTTGTGGGATGCACATCCAGGGCACGAAGCTCCCGTTCCACCACATCCCAAAGATGCTCTATTGGGTTGAGATCTGGTGACTGTGGGGGCCATTTTAGTACAGTGAACTCATTGTCATGTTCAAGAAACCAATTTGAAATTATTCGAGCTTTGTGACATGGTGCATTATCCTGCTGGAAGTAGCCATCAGAGGATGGGTACATGGTGGCCATAAAGGGATGGACATGGTCAGAAACAATGCTCAGGTAGGCCGTGGCATTTAAACAATGCCCAATTGGCACTAAGGGGCCTAAAGTGTGCCAAGAAAACATCCCCCACACCATAACACCACCACCACCAGCCTGCACAGTGGTAACAAGGCATGATGGATCCATGTTCTCATTCTGTTTACGCCAAATTCTGACTCTATCATCTGAATGTCTCAACAGAAATCGAGACTCATCAGACCAGGCAACATTTTTCCAGTCTTCAACTGTCCAATTTTGGTGAGCTCTTGCAAATTGTAGCCTCTTTTTCCTATTTGTAGTGGAGATGAGTGGTACCCGGTGGGGTCTTCTGCTGTTCCGCCTCAAGGTTGTGCGTGTTGTGGCTTCACAAATGCTTTGCTGCATACCTCGGTTGTAACGAGTGGTTATTTCAGTCAAAGTTGCTCTTCTATCAGCTTGAATCAGTCGGCCCATTCTCCTCTGACCTCTAGCATCAACAAGGCATTTTCGCCCACAGGACTGCCGCACACTGGATGTTTTTCCCTTTTCACACCATTCTTTGTAAACCCTAGAAATGGTTGTGCGTGAAAATCCCAGTAACTGAGCAGATTGTGAAATACTCAGACCGGCCCGTCTGGCACCAACAACCATGCCACGCTCAAAATTGCTTAAATCACCTTTCTTTCCCATTCTGACATTCAGTTTGGAGTTCAGGAGATTGTCTTGACCAGGACCACACCCCTAAATGCATTGAAGCAACTGCCATGTGATTGGTAGATTAGATAATTGCATTAATGAGAAATTGAACAGGTGTTGCTAATAATCCTTTAGGTGAGTGTATTTCAGTTTAGTTTTTTAAACAATGATATTAAGCATGCACATCAAAAACTAATGATAATCAGATGCATGACCAAAATATAGATCCTAAAATGTGTTGCTTCCACAAACACTGAATGAGTTGACTAAAGTATAACAGAAGTGTTGGTCATCAGTCAGTGGCCGTGAGTGTGTGTTGTCTGACCCGAGTGGCCGTGAGTGTGTGTTGTCTGACCCGAGTGGCCATGAGTGTGTGTTGTCTGACCCGAGTGGCCATGAGTGTGTGTTGTCTGACCCGAGTGGCCATGAGTGTGTGTTGCCTGACCCGAGTGGCCATGAGTGTGTGTTGTCTGACCCGAGTGGCCGTGAGTGTGTGTTGTCTGACCCGAGTGGCCATGAGTGTGTGTTGTCTGACCCGAGTGGCCATGAGTGTGTGTTGCCTGACCCGAGTGGCCGTTGTTCTTCATGGTGCTCTCGAACACTTCCTGGTAACCCGTGAACTTGAACGGCGTCAGTCTCTCGTCCAGCTTGGTTTTCTTCGTCACTATGTTGATCGGTGACTGTCTGCTTTTCCCACATTCTGCGTTGACTTCCCTCCATCGGTCGGGTCCTGAGGACAACACAGAGACGCTGCGTTAGATTTAGTTTAGAGTTTTAGTTTAGTTTTAGTTTAGAGTGAGGTTCAACTCACCTTTACAGTGGGACTCGCAGCTGACCTGCGCCTGGTAGCACCAGTCTGGATGAGGAGAAACGATTCGTTAGTACATTAAAATGCTTTATTAAGAATTTTTTTTTTTTTTTGCATTTGTCTTTTGATCCTCTGGGCATTTGTGGGGCAATGATTGGAGATTTTTTAAGTGAAAGAAGTCTATTCTGCTCACAAGGCTGCATTTATTTGATCAAAAATACAGTAAAAATGGACAATTTGTGAAATATTATTACAATTTAAATCAGCTGTTTTCTATGTGAATATATAGTAAAGTGTAATTTATTCCTGTGATCAAAGCTGTATTTTCAGCATCATTACTCCAGTCTTCAGTGTCACATGATCCTTCAGAAATCACTCTAATATGATGATCTGATGCTCAAGAAACATTTCTGATTATTATCTTGTTGTAAAACTTGTTGCTGCTCAACATTTGTGAGAAAACCATAAACCATGAAAATAATTTAATTCAGCAAGGATGCATTAAATAGTTTAAAAGTGACATTTATAATGTTACAAAAGATTATATTTCAAATAAATGCTGTTCTTTTTAACTTTCTGTTCATCAAAGAATCATGCATTGCATCAAATCATCAAATGCTTTTAACATTGATAATAAGAACTATTATTAATAATCGAGCACCAATAATAATTGAGTAAATTACATTTTAAATATTTTCAAATAGAAAACGGTAATTTTAAATTGTAATAATATTTCACAGTATTACTGTTTTTACTGTATTTTTTAACGCAGCCTTTGGTGAATCTTCTTTCAAAAACATTTGAAAATCTGAATTATTCCAAACTTTTGTTTATTAGCTTATTAAACAATTTCTTAATTCTAATGACTTCATTCTATTGTCTCGTCCGACAGGAAAACCTCTCCCGCGGTTGCTCACAATGAACACAGATTATATTAAACTGTTATGAGAATTGTTAATAATAAGAAAACTATCTTCACGGACTAACTAGAAATCACTAACGGGATGTTTTGAGTCTATCTGGCGACTTCTGTAAGAAGTTACTCAGTCGTGACTTGACTTCATGACCCCACATCTCCTTTTCCCTCTCAATGAGATCCTGTTATTTCAGGAATTAAAGAGAAATGTCACTGATGACACAAATGTTATTGCTTGGAAATTGCACTTGGTTCTCATTTGTTTAACATTTGAGTCTTAGATGATGTAGTGATTCTTCTGAAATTTCTTATGGGAGGAATAAAGACAAATTGTCTGATATAATGGTAAATTAAATGACCTTTTGAAGTATTAATATCTGTTTTGTTCCATTGTGATACACTAACAGCCACCAATCACAGCAGAGATGAGAGTCACATGATCAATCAAAGCTCATTACAAATAGCATTACCACAAGAAATTTAATACTAGGTTATGAAAGCTGCACAGTGTCATTCGCACTAACACTAAACACCATCATGGTAACACACATGAAATTTTAAAAATGCAATAAGCATTAATTTAACAACATTAAATGTAACATAAAACCCTAATGTACATAACTGATTAGAAAAAAACTAAGAAAACAATGAAGAAACAGTTATTTCAACAAAAATACATCAAATGTGAAATGTCACGCAGGGAATTGTGGGAATGTCAATTTACGTTTTTTCACTGTAAATTATATAATGACTTGTTCTTTTTCACTTCCAAAAACTTTAATTTAAATATAGTAAAATTACATTAAATATACCATCACAGTTATTTACCATTTATAGTAAGGAAACTTTCTTTAACCAATTAACAGTTTGTCACTGTAGCATTTTTACAGTCTTTTACCATGAAAATCACGATTATTTTTTTGTATACTATTCCAATACCTCTTGAGACTAAATTGTCCCACTTTTTTCTGTATAAAAGTCTACTTTTAAGTGTAAAAGTATAACTATACAACAAGTGAACTTATACTGATAGTTTACTAAATACTTTTTAATTTTTTTTAGTTTATTAAAATTACACTTTTTTAAGTGTACTCTGTTTAGTAGTTTTATACCGCAAGTACTTGTTTTCTTTAATATCATACTAAGAGTTTATTTTTGCACTTTAAGTATACTACTATGTTCCTAGGTATTAATTTGTATATATACCTTTAACTGTACGAGCATTTCTGATCATTTTCACAAAGCCTTCATGCCTCATCAAGTTTAATAGTTCACATGTTTGGCACAAAACTAGTTTTTATTCACTGTGTCAATCAACTTTATCATTTCATGTTTATTAAACTCGTCCTCGATTGTTAGCTTGTTTGGTTTTTCTCCCTCGCACACAAAGAGCTGTTCCCACGTCTCCAGTCCATTAGCTGTTATTCTCCGCCATTCAATCGCTTCTGATACACAGGAATCGCTTTTCTATTGTTTGAGAGCTGGAAAGACACAAATCTCTCTATCTGTCTCTGTTATCTGCCCATAGCATCGCAAGGGTCACATTCTTCTTATTATTTTATTAATATTTCACAATGGAGACGCACGACTCCACCTTGGTGGTGGAACAAATATTTTGACCCAATCTCCGAAATCAAATATTTCTGAAAAGCACGCACGGCATTGAAACGAATGGGTCGGGTTGTTATTTCTAAGTTCGGTCCCACAGATTGGAAGGTAAAGGAAGTGCCAGTGAAATGGCACCGCCGGCAGGTCTCTCTACCTCATCTGTGATGCCGTTTCCTTCTGCGGGCACATGATAATCCAGCTCACAAACAAACCCAACGTGTGAACCGCAGCGAAAGCCAAAGCATCCCAGTTTCTCCACATGAGGCGTCGGGAGCACAAAGCCAGGAATGTGAGGAGATCCACGTAAGACTGATCAAAACACACCCGTGTTTATCATCTCCCATTGTGTGATGCAGATGATGTCATTTCCTGCACCGGAGCATCCTCTTCCACAAACCCGAAGAGTGCATGCTTTCATAAACACTGCATTTCTCAATGCTCGAATCAGGCAGCTTTCAGATTTAGACGACCTGTTACAACTACTTGAATAAATGCAAAAAGCGAGTTCCTTGTCTTCTACATTTCTTTAACACATTTACAAAGAAGCAAAATTACCTAAGATAACAAGTCCTCACTGTAAAAAAAATCCTGTTGTTTTTACGGAAAAAAACTGGCAGCTGTGGTTACCAGAACTCTACCGTCAAAAATACGGTATCAACGTTTTTGGTTTTACACTTACAAAAAAATTTACAGTATTAAACCGTACTTCATTATCTGATATAAGGATAATTTACCGACCTATTGAAGTATTAATATCTGTTTTGTACCATTGTAATACACTGACAAACAACAACCATCACAGCAGTGATGAGTCACATGATCAATCAAAGCTCATCACAAGCAATCTTCCACAAGAAAGTTGATACTATTATATTGAAGCTGCACAGTGTTATTCGCACAAACATTAAACACCATCATGGTAACACACATGACATTTTAAAAATGCAATAAACATTAATTTAACAACATTAAATGTAACATAAAACCCTAATGTACATAACTGATTAGAAAAGAACAAAGAAAACTAAGAAGAAACATAGTTATTTCAACAAAAATACATCAAATGTGAAGTGTCATGCAGGGAATTGTGGGAATGTCAATTTACGGTTTTTCACTGTAAATTATACAATGAGTTGTTCTTTTCACTTTCAAAAACTGTAAATTTAACGGTATTTTACAGTAAAATTACATTAAATGTACCGTTAGATCTATCACAGTTATTTACCGTATATAGTAAGGAAACTTTCTGTTAACCAATTAACAGTTTTGCACTGTAGCATTTTTACAGTCTTTTACCGTTAAAATCACGATCATTTTTTACAGTATATTTTCTGAAAAAAGCATGAAAATTAAGTGAATTTATGCTTGAGACAAGAAAAACAAAAGTATAAAGCTTATAGGGTCAGAAAAATAATCTTGTTTTCCCTTTAAGTTAAGTTTATTTTTTTGACCCCATTGGACATTTCTTTTTCTTTTTTTCTTTTTCCGGTTTAATACCCATCATAATTTTGCTTGCTTAATTTAGTGATAAAAAAAGTGCATGGTTGCAAGTTAAAAATACAAATTTGTTGATTTAGTTACACCTTTTAAGTTGCAAACCTTATTTTTGATGAGTTCTTTACAACTGGAATTTTTGCATAAATTGATATTTTTTTGTAATCGAGTTGTTGTAACTTAATGAAGTTGTCTTGATAACTTTGAAATCTGGGCAGTGGATTTCTAGTTCCCAGCATGCATTATTGTATTTCATTAATAAAGGGAAAGATCTGTGAGTATTTAATGCATTTAATTGGATAAAAGCGTCTGCCAAATGCATAAATTGAAATGTTATGCAGGTTATTTTCAGTATGTGCTATACTCGCTGTTGAATTGAACTAGATTAAGACTAGATTAATTGGTTCCAGGGCCAGGAATCAGTTAGTTGGAGTAATCAACCTAAAAATTTGTGTTAATGCTGTTTCTCTCAGTGTAGATTGTTAGTTGAATCATTTCATTAACTCATATAGATTGATGCACACTGTCACATTGAGCCTTAATGAAGTTTGCGTCATTGATTCTGTCATTCTCCAGTTTGTCACAGTGAAGCTGCTTTGAAACAGTCTGTATAAAGGGGACTTTGACGTGGTTTGGATTGAAAGGAGCAGGTGTCATTGGTGTGGGCTATCATAAGCGTGCGGTCAGTGGAGATTGAGAACAATACCTGGCTGATATGAATGAACACACAGCTTTTGATCTTCAGAGCAGCACGAGAAACAAAGTAAGTGTCACCGTAATGTCTCCAAGAAGAGCCAAAGACTCAACGCTGCAGCCGTGGGATAAACAAAGCTAAGAAAATACGCTTTCATGCTCGTAAACCAAAACACAAATCCTGCCGTGATATTATCTGCTGTGTGTGTGTGTGTGTGAGAGTGAGTGAGTGAGTGAGTGAGTGAGTGAGTGAGTGAGTGAGTGTGTGTGTGTGTGTGTGTGTGTGTGTGTGAGTGAGTGAGTGAGTGAGTGAGTGAGTGAGTGTGTGTGTGTCTGTGAGTGTGTGTCTGTGAGTGTGTGTCTGTGAGTGTGTGTCTGTGAGTGAGTGAGTAAGTGAGTGTGTGTGTGATAAATATAATCTGAACACGGAAAAGGTTTTAAAATCTGCTAGTTACAGAAAGAGAGTTTCCTTATTTAGACAGCAAGATTGAGTTTTACCGGATCTGGCATTTCGCCACTTACTGTACATCAGGCAAATATGTTAAGCTGTTTGGTATGTCTGTGTTTAGGCTTCTGTTTGCTGAGGTCACCTGTGAACTGCCCATGGCTGCCTATAAGACAGCATTGTGTCTCTGTTTACGCGACCCTCTCATAATGCATTTTGACAGATAAAATATAATCCAAAAATAATCCATCTATTGTTTATTTTCTATATTTTTATTAAAGGTCCCGCTCTTCGTGATCCCATGTTTCAAACTTTAGTTAGTGTGTAATGTTGTTGTTAGAGTATAAATAATATCTGTAAAATTATAAAGCTCAAAGTTCAATGCCAAGCGAGATATTTTATTTAACAGAAGTCGCCTACATCGAACGGCCCGTTTGGACTACATCCCTCTACTTCCTTCTTTAATGACGTCAGTAGAACAGTTTTTTGACTAACGTCCGCCCACAGGAATGCTCTCTCAACTTGCGCACTTCTTATAACTTACTGTGTTTACTCAGCTCTTACAGTGATTTTCTGAAGTAAAACTGACGCTTCATCTTTTGTGTGATGTACAATAAACTATATTAAACTCATCAGTATATGTTTGATCATTATTCGGACCTGGTCCGACCGAAACAGCAGACTTGTAGGCTATTAATAAATAATGGATACATACGGTTATTATAACGTATTTGTCATCGGCTTGTAATTAAACTACTAAACTATACCTGTTCCATCTCTATACAGCACTCTGACTCTGTAGCCATTATTGTCCGACTCGAAATGAACACCGTTACTGAGAGTTTCTGATATTATCATCATTCCGTGAGATGAAATTGTCCCGAGAGACTGAGCGCGAGCTCATGAAGCCCCGCCCCCTGTGCCGGCAGCAGCAGCTTATTTGCATTTAAAGGGCACACACTAAAACAGCGCGTTTTTCTGAGCCCCAAAAAATGACAATTTAAACATGGTGTAAAAAATGATCTGTTGGGTATTTTGAGCTGAAACTTCACACACACATTCTGGGGACATCAGAGACTTATTTTACATCTTGTGAAAAGGGGCATAATACGGGACCTTTAATGTACTTTTTGGATAATGTTATTGTCTTTTCTTTATTATTGTGTTATTTTCCCTTTTATTGCCTTTTGTCTCTGTAGTCTTTCTGCACTGGACACTTCTCTCATCAACACAAATTCCTTGTGTGTGTTTGTCATTCTGATTCAAATTATTATTATTAGCTTATTTGTAAAGCATTTCTTGTCAGTCGTGGACTTCATGAGTCAGAAGGTTAGGCTACTTGAAGACTATTTCAGATCAGTCACTTTTCCATTTAGTTTTTTTAACAGCACTCGTCAATGTCAGAATGACTGGGCCAATCAAATCAAGGAAGGCGGGGCTTCACTGTTCACATGATGCATTCGCTCCATTTGAGCGCTGAAAGAGTGTGAGGTCAAATCTAAGTAAACAATAAAGGGATAGTTTACCCCCAAATTAAAATGCTGTCATCATTTATGAATTTCTTATTTTAAGGATATATTTGAAAGAATATGGTTAATCAAACAGTTGATGGGCCCCATTGACTTCCATGAAATATTTTTTTTTCCATATGGAAGTCCATCAACTGTTGGATACCCATATTCTTCACAATATCTTCTTTTTTGTTCTATAGAAGAAAGAAATTCATACAGGTTTGGAACAGCTTGAGGACGAGTAAATGATGACAGATTATTATTATTATTATTTTTTGGTGAACTGTCCCTTTAAATATCAGACAACTGTTTTATGATAGGAATGTTAAACAGCCAACGGTAATATGATGCAAGCTACTAAACATTCTTGGGCACGTTTAGCCATTTTGAATTGAAAATATAGGCTAACATTTACATAATTCATGACGTTTTCGCATATTAGGCGTATGATTAGACGCAAAGAGTGTGTATTTTGAAATAAGAATACTGTTTGCAAATAGTTATTTCATTGATTTCATTTTGGTTTTGGTTCACAATGTTCGAGGCTACTCATGCATTTCTTCATTCCAGCATGTAAATATTACTATAATTGAACTATAATATGTATATATTCCTATTGGCTTCATTAGTAGCACTTAAGGTGCCATCAGATGCTTTAATGAAAAGTCATTCATTAACAGTCCACTTAACCTCCGGTTACTCCACAGCGACTGAAGCTGTGATAATGTGTTGATCAAGAGCACAATAATGAATCAACAATGAAGAAGACCTTTCAGTCAGGCTCTTTAACCTCTTCACGACATTACTAAGTGATTGATAATAAGATAATAATGGTGATATGAAGAAGATTAAAGTGTTCGTTTGCATGTTCTAAGCACTTGCAGTGTATAATTTTGGCTCTTGTATGGAGACCTTGAGCCTTTTGACTTGTTATTGGCACACATTCATGTGCCCTAGAAAGTATATATGGACACTGAAGTCACACTTATTACATCAGAATATTATGCAAATGATATCAGTCAAATGCTGTCGGATCTTTCCTCTTCACCAACTTCATCATTTTCAATGTGTTGTAATCACATTAATAGCAACATGTTCAACTAAGCACAAACTCACACAATAGCCTACTGTGTCAAACATTGTGTTCAATTTCAACACTCCACATTGTTTTAGCATTTGGAAGAGAACAAACTTCTTATTGTCAAAAGCTTTTGAAGAGTGTTTGTCAAGTCATGTATATGCTTTCACAATTTCAGCGTCAGTGTTTAGAAATGTCTTTGGATCCTATAGTGAGCAGGAAATCTAACAGCAAGAGATTGTTTTAACATCTTTAATCCAGAGGCATTTGTGTCGATTATTCACAATTGACACTTGCTTTTAAATTGTGTTATCTAGCACTGAGACATTTTTTGAGTGTGACTTAATTTTCCAAATATATTCTTTATGCATCATTTTTGGTGCTCGTTTTACGTTTCACTAACCACAAACGACGAGCGCGCATTTTCACCTGCGGGAAGACGCGTAATCGCATTCGTCTGTGGGAGGTAGCCTAACCATAGCATTTTGCTTCTGAAAACCGAACCATAACTACTGTCGGTATCACTTTATTGTTCATTTACATATCATGTCACTAAAAACTTTGCGTTTTGCGAAGCTTAATGTATACAATTGGCGCCAGAGGACAGTTTGGGTTGCGCGTAATGACCCTCATTACGCGCCGCACATTTCGATGTTCCTTTAAAAAGTCTAGCTTTCTGATAGTCATAGAAGGCTGTGATTCGCAGGTGTGAATGTTTCAGTTTCAGAGCTTCAGTCGTTGGCAAACAATCGGACGCCTTCTGGATTTACGCGCTCCTCCTACACAAGGAACGGGAACAGACGAGTGTCCTTGAGCAGAAATAAAGACGCTCCTTCCTCCAGAAAATCAGGAATTATTACTTTTTTTCCGATGACGGATTTTCTAGGGGTTTCGAGGTTTTTCTAAATGTATAAGATGTCTGCATATAGGTGAGAGAGCGTTTGAATCAACTAAATATTTACTGAGAAGTTAGACTATTCCGAATAACTAAAGACAAGCTTTGCGCATTAATGAATGGGGTCATCTTTAATTTTGGTTTGGGATGAAATTATGTGGTTATTCTTAGTTGTGGATATTCAACAAAAAAAATGAAAAACGTTAGAAAGCATCATGCGTGTGTACTTTTGAAAAGCTCGAGGCTTTACTCAAATTATTATTGTTAAGTTATTATTGTTAAATTTGAATATCAGGTATAATCACTGACAGTGTTTTACGCATAAAACAATTGACTAAGAAACTCGATTTGTAAGAAACTGTTTACGAATAGCCGAATGTAAATCTCTATACATGTCAATGTCACACAGGAGTCAGTCTGCTCACCTTTAAATGATGCACATTACTTATAAATAAATTAACACTAATAAATGCAATGAGGTTTAAGTTCAATCTGATCAGTGCTTTGTCACATGAAATGTCCTTATTTAAACCAAACCCTGTAGATCAGTAAATAAGCTTGAATATGAATGCATTATGATGATGAAACTCACCTGCAGCGCTGCATGAATGCAGAAGCAGTGGCAGAAGAAAAGCTGAAAGCAGAGCGCGCATTGTGACTGTCCTGGGACTCCAGCAGTGAGACTGGACCGAGTGTGTGTGTCCTGGGACTCCAGCAGTGAGACTGGACCGAGTGTGTGTGTGTCCTTTGTGTGTCCTGGGACTCCAGCAATGAGACTGGACCGAGTGTGTGACCCTTAGAGAGTCTGATCGGCTCTTATATAGTAATATATCTATCAATGAACGGATGGAGTCTGTTGGCCCCGCCCCCTACCATCATCACATTCCTCTAATACAGTTATAATGAGAGCATCACTGTAACATCTATCTATCTATCTATCTATCTATCTATCTATCTATCTATCTATCTATCTATCTATCTATCTATCTATCTATCTATCTAATCAACCCATCCATCATCCATCCATCCGAATTTAATTATAAAGTGGAATTTAATATTGTAATGATAATAGTTAATAAATAGTGATGATATTGTCAATTAAATGATCAACAATGCATACTATTATAAGTGAGAAGATGCTTTCTTATCCAGATCAACGTACAGTTCAAATAATTTATTAGGTTTCAACCCAGTCTCTGAATAACTGGTCATGATATATTATACTGAGATGCCATAACTGCCTTCAGCCAGGTCAGTCTTGACTATAGCTTGAAGGAAAACTGTCATTGAAAAAAACAAGTCTCAGGTCATCTTATTCAAACTTTATATTTGTATTATTTCTTATTTTATTACTACTTAACGTTTTCACTCATCAAAGCATGAATAACCTCAAAAATTGCACTTGTTATTAGAATATTTCAAGTGAAATATTTCTGTATTTCTGTCCCAGCATGTATTTCAGGGAAAGGGAATTTTATCATTTAAAAAATGAGGAAAGTTTTGTCAGGAAGTAGGAAGTGTTGAATTATTGTTATTGTTTTACTCTATTGCCTCCCATTTTAACAAATGTTTACTGTGCTGTAAACATTATGAGATGACAGTAAACATAACAGATGAAAAAGCACTTCCCATTGTTTTATAGGTTAGTTGTTTTGTGCTGTTCATGCACTTTATAGCATGGATATGGGAGATTATTATATATCTTGAATAAGTTAGGTTGCTAACAAGTGTCTAAATGGGATCTAAACTACGGAGGCTGTCGAGGAGAGTAAACGTCATCACGCCGAACAGGTAATTAAACACCTGCTTTATCCACAAACCACTACCGTTATAAATAGTTGACCAGTCGAGAGCAAATTTAATCATTCATTTGGCTTTGGTGACATCTAATGGCCGGTGAAGACACGACAACACAATTAAATCAAAATTACTCAAAACTGTTTAATAGCCTATTATAGGCTACCATATTATAATAATATAGCAGTAGGCTACTAATAATACAAGTCATTTAAAATGTGTATTTATTGTTAAAAGTGTCTTTCTTCAGACCATCTACCTCATAAACAATGTGCACAATAGCCTACAAAACACTATTTATACTTATATTTGTTTGGCACACCATAACGCTTATACATTAACTTAAATTTGTATATGCTATAGCATAGCCTACTGTACATATTACACAGACAAAGCCCATTGTCTATTTTGTATATTGTGTATTTTTGTATGTTTCTTATCTGTTTCTTTTCGCTGTCTGTGCTGTGGTAGCTTCTTTCACAAATGCATCGTATGTGTAAACATATACTTGGCAATAAAGCTCATTTTGATTCTGATTTATTGGCTATTTTCTATTACATCAAGTTTTGTGAGCACAACAGTGAACGTCCACTTTTTCTTGCTTCGAGATGTATTTTTTTCCATTCACTTTTTTTCTCAGGGATTTTAACAATTCTTTAGTAAAGTGGCGCAGGTATGACGTAAATTTTGTAGTCCAAAACGCGGAAACGAGTTAGCATTTTAGCACTTTCGGTTCTATTGTTCCGAAGTCAATAGGTTTTTAGTTAAATGGCTGAAATAAGGTCTGTGGTGGACAAGCTCAGTATACTTCTCATAAGTATAACTTCTCGACGTAAAATACATCAGTAATACCCCACTCAGTGATTTTTTTTGAAAAAGGTTGCTAACAAGTGTCTAAATGGGACCTAAACTACGGAGGCTGTCGAGGAGAGTTAACGTCATCACGCCGAACAGGTAAACTCAGTCCGCTTTTACAGCCTTGCTATGCTTATAATTGTGAAACTTATGAAAATGTCGGTAGCTTAAGTGATGGCGATGTTGAAGACTTCGTGGGACTTTGACCCAAACCAATCACTGTTTCTTCTCGCGGTAATCATGCTGGTTACGTGCATTCGTGGCATTCCTCCATTCGGTGTTCACTAAAATGCATCAGTCTGTGCTGTGGAGAAAATAGGTGGGATTTTGGTATCCGACGGTTGTTGTGCTCTGTGTTAAAGGGTTAGTTCACCCAAAAATCAAAATTCTGTCATTAGCGGGACTAGTTGTTGTAACACGGTTATTTACATGTCTCAATCTCGTTCAGCAATCAGCAGATCTCTGCAAAGCGCATCTAGGTAGGCCTACTGTGCACATTCATATACAACATACAGAACATAACTCAACGTTTAATATAATCCCAGATTATTTAATGTGTAAATGTCTGACCAACAATTAAAATGTTAATTATGCAAGAAAACCTTGTGCTTTGGTCATCTGAACCACTTAGACGTATTTTATTCATGTAATGAGTAGATTAGGCACACATTTTAATAAAGACGAATCTTTTTCGAACAAGACAAAACATAACACATAAGACACTATTTTGCGCCACCTGCTGGCGTATTTATGTAATATGAATTGTCACTGAACGAATCTGAACACATCATTTTGGTGAACAAACTGAAAATGAACGAATCTCTTGCAAAATCTAAATTTCTACCACTAAACACACTTCTTTTAAAGGGGTGGTTGATTATGATTTTACTTTGATTCCAACTTTAGTTAGTGTGTAATGTTGCTGTTTGAGCATAAACAACATCTGCAAAATTACAACGCTCAAAGTTCAAAGCAAAGGGAGATTTGCTTTTAAAGAAATTGCGTTTAAAGGACTACAACAAACGGCTGGTAGGGACTACAGGACATTCCTCCCGGGTTAGTGACATCATCACCAACCCTAGAATTTACATAAACCCCGCCCCCAGAACACGATGTATTATCATGACAGAAGATAACTACACACAAGCTACCTAAATTCATCAACTAATCATTCAGAAATGTCCTGTTGTTTCTACATGTCGTCACTTCTTCTTGAGTCTCTCCATCATTGACTCCGGTTTGAACATAAAAGGCTCAAAGTTTTTGAAATTTTCAGTGCATGTCTGTGTGAGGTAAAAGGACACAAGCTCCGCCCCCTGTGCCCTGAGCAGCAGCTCATTTGCATTTAAAGGAACAGACACAAAATGGTGCGTTTTTGCTCACCCTCAAAAGGTGACAATTTTAACATGCTATATAAAAATATCTGTTGAGCTAAAACTTCACATACACACTCTGGGGACATCAGAGACTTATTTAACATCTTGTGAAAAGGGCATTATACCACCCCTTTAAATACTTTCACACATGCTAGCATGACGAAACTTTGTAACGTGACAAAACTTAGTGTATTTACTAGATGCCATATCAACACTATATAGAGAAAAAAATTGTGCCAAAAATTCAGAAATATTTGGAAGATATCACTGAACATTTATTTAACCATAGCCAAAGTAAATTTCTTACTTGTTAATTTTTCATCTCTATTTTTTGTGTTTATTTCAAATGAGACAAATCTGATATTATTTTAATCTCCAATATGTTATTTAACAGTTGATATAGTTCGCTTACTGGCAGAAGACACTAGCCGGGTTTAAATCCCAGTTGTGCCGGCGGGGCATGTTGTCACTGCGCGTTACAGTGAGCCCCTATTAGAACTATTGCTATTCTATTCGTTACATTTACAATTCGTTAGAGAAAAAATGAGAAAAAGGTGAATAAAGACTGAGAGTCAATGTTCAGAAATGATTAATTATTATTATGTTTTGAATGCTGTATAGCTTTTTTTGTTGTAAAGCTGTGCTTTCTGGTGTTCATTGTCAAAATCAAAAATTATTATTAATTATTAAAAAATGCCATTATTTTATATGAAAAAGTTAATAATTGTATTTTATTGAGAAAATATTTTATATTGTCATGTTACAATGTACCTATGGGGCATGTTGTCACATTTCACTTCCATTCTTTCGGGGGATATCAAGAAAAAAGTATACACTGTATTAATGAAACAAAACCACATAATTGTACTAGACGTGTGTAATTAATGTGGGGAAAAGAAATACTCTGAACCCCAAGTAGATTTACACAAACTGAGAAAGTCAAAAAGCGTTAGGTTGTGCCCCGCTCTCCCGTACTCACACTCATGTCGATTCAAACCCATACGACTTTGTTCATTTTCAGAACACAAATGAAGATACTTTTAGTGAAATCTGAACGATTTTTGTCCCTCCATTGACAGTCTACGCAACTACCACTTTGACACTTCAAAAAGTTCATAAACAGATCGTAAAAAAACGAATCCATATGAATTGAGCGGTTTAGTCCAAACTTTCTAAAGAGACTCGATCACTTTATATGATGAACATTTACAATTTAGGCCTTTAATCACAAATTAACATTGATCAGCGAACATAAACAGAAGCTCAACAACATACTTGCCTTAATGCGTGAGAACAAACCTCATTGGCTCTAGTGAAGCTCAAACGTGATGCGTCACATGAGAATGAACCTCATTGGTTCCTGCTCCTGTATGGCCATTTGATAATAAAAAAAGGTATATGTTGCCCTTATAATGTTAATAACATGCAACACACTAAGAATGATGTGTCTCTGAAGTTTACTAGTCGTTCTTTCTATCAGACAGAAGCGAAACCAGAGATGATCTTATTATTGGTGATCTTCACTTGTACATTCACTGTTTTACAGCGGATTCTCCTGATAGTGCTGAATCACTGGTACAACAATGCTAACGAATGAACAATAACATCAAAGAAACACGAGAACTGACAAACAAGGAAACAATGGCATAAATGTGGGAAAACAATAAATAAAAAAAATATAGGAATAACATCAAAGAAACATGAGAACTGACAAACAATG